TTTCTCTTCACTTTATTCTTAGTTCTATATCGTTTAAGAAATTACTTACCGATGAATGTAAGATGAGGATCTAAGGTTTTGTCGAACCTAGCAGGACATCCGTAAGCAGCACACGATACTGGTATTTTTATATGTTATACACACAAGAGAAACATGTGCACCTGTGAGCTGCTGACTGTTAACTGGCGGGCCACAGCCATGACCTAGCCTCTTGCCAACCACAATATGACCGCCGGCAGCTCAGAGTGACCTCACTTTTCTGAGCGGATGCCGTTTCCACCATATTATACCTCCATGGATGATAGTTAGAGGGATTGGAATGTTCACCCTTCTTTGGGATGGGCTGAACTGAAGCATGCTTTCAAGAAGAAGGAAAAGTTTGGGTTTTAAGGCAAAGGCAAAAGAGACGAGCAAGCACAGGGGCCAGAACTTCAGCACACTCCCTCAGAACACGAGGGGGTATTCCGTCCGGTCCATGAGCCTTACTCGCATCCAACCTGGATAACACACTAGCAACCCTACGAGTGGAGATTATAGGAAAATGCATAGGTTCAGTAGGAGGGATAGAGTTGGAATCGTCTAAGGTGGAGTTAGAGGAGAATAAGGTGCTAAAGAGATTGGCTTTATCAGGGGGAGAGTTGGCTATAGAGTTATCAGGTCAGAAGAGAGGAGGAAAAGAAGGAGTGCAGAAGTTATTACAGAAGTTTTTGGTTAAGGACCAGAAGGATTTACTAGAAGAAGAGTTAGTCAGGACAGCGGTCATTCTATTTATAGAATTCCACTTGGCCCTATGAAGAATAACCTTACAATGATTCCTAGAAGAAATGAAAGAGACTGGTAATAGGAGGAGGAGATAGTTTCATAGCTCGATATACCCGATCTCTCTCTCCCTACATGCAAGAGAGCAGGAGTGATCAAACCATGATTGTAAAGTGAAAGTTTTGGTAGAAGATGGGATAAATACACTCATACCACCCTGTTTAACCCCAGCAATGCTGTCAGCACATACCGAGGCATCCTGAGTGGAAAAGCAACATTCATCCCAAGGAAAGTCGGTGAAGAATTCTCACAGGGATTGCCAGTTTGCCCTCCGATAGTGCCATAGTTGACGTTTAAAGGGGGGTGGGGGAGGTGGTTGTGCCCAGTTTGATTTAATAGAAATAAGATTGTGATCAGAAGACCCTAAGGGCAGCAAAGGTTACCAAGTGCATATTTATCAGTCATATAGAGGGAGTTTAAGTTTTTCGCTTATAAAATGTCACTGAATTGACTTGGCAGAATATAACTTACATTGCTGGAATCCTTGTAAGATAGTGATTAATATAATATAAACATGCTATAGTTTGCACTAGACATAACAATTTTAGTAATTATTTAGTACATTTGAGTACAATACAGGTTTGCCCTTAGGACAATTATTTCTTTTTCTTTTTTCACAATATACGAGGTCTGATCGAAAAGTATCCGACCTTTAGTCCGGATCTTTGAGGGTTCACCATATAGAAGATGCCTTTAATGGTTGGTTAAATTTTAAGAGACCAGGAAGTAGAAGATTGATTAAGTGGGAGACAGATGTAGGGTTGGGGAAGACCAGAGCAGGTTTTAGAAGAAGAGAGAATACATGTTTAGAAGGTGTGTAAGTTTGGTAATACATATGCTGTACATCACAAGAAGTCATTTGTACAGTACAGTATTTCCTTATCTGATCAAAAGATATACTGTAGCTGTGTGTAAATGTTATAAGTTGAACTCAAGACATTGGTGTTATCCAGACTGAAATGTTCTCTTTCAAATTGCAGCTGCAGAAGCTACTGACGATGGATCCGACAAAACGAATAACATCGGAGCAGGCGATGCAGGACCCTTACTTCCTGGAGGACCCGGTGCCCACGCAAGAGTTAGTAGTCTGAGTTGCATTGTTTGAGAGTATAACTTAAACAACCTACATTCTTTTCATACACTTTTATTCCCCACTGCAAGTAATTGTTTAATACATGGTGTGAGTGATAGCCTGTCCAACATGTACAGAACAGTTGTGGCCTGTGGTAAGCAGACTTTTTGTGAGGAAGGTTGTTTAGGCCACAGCCTTGTGTAACTGTGGTTTAAGATGTACTGTACAGTCAGAAACCATAATCTCTAGCCCACCAGGGTCGGTGCTGGAGGTTAGTACAGCGTCCTTTCTGGACGGGGGTCCACTCTAACTATCACGAGGACTGTGTGTTGTGCATGTGTTGCCTCGTGATAGTTAGAGTGGGCCCCTGTCCAGAAAGGATGCTGTACTAACCTCCAGCACCGACCCAGGTGGGCTAGAGATTATGGTTTCTGACTACAGTATACATACAAAAGGTTTTGATAATTTTTTTTTGAATTATTGGTTTGTGATAATCATCTTACACTCAAATCTTTATATGTAAAGTGAATGATAGAGTCAATTCTGTATGGGGGATTAAGCAAAGCCATGTTACAATATAAAAAAAATGTGATTAATTTTTTCCACCAGAAAGCAGCATTATGTTTGATGGTGAGTCTGGCCCTAAACCACCTTAAGAAAATGTGTGTTTACCTCGTGTGATACTGAGACACACCCATGTCATTAGGTATAGTAACACAACAGTTCACTATGTTGGTGGAAACTTTCAACTCCTGTCATACTTTGGGGATTTATAACCACTAAAGCAAGGGTGGGCTTATTTTTGATGGAGGGCCACTTCATGAATGGTGGCACACTTCGCAGGCCACACTTAATGTAGATGCAAATGTATTATATTAATGCAAAGTAAAGCCTTGTATTTGTAAATACAAATGCAGTGGCTGGCCACAGAAATAATTTGGCGGGCCAAATGTGGCCCGCGGGCCGTACTTTGCCCACCCCTGCACAAAAGGATAGTTGCAGTACCAGAGATTTTGTAACATTGAGGTACAGGTATTGTATTGTATCTCTCTCTCTCTGGTCAGTTTCAGGCACTACCCATTGCATGTCCCTGGTCCCACACACACCCACCCACCTCTCTCTCTCAGTTCCTCACTTTTAATTCTCAGCCCCTTTTTGAGGAGACAGTGGTATCTCTCTGTCTGTGTACCTAAACTATGCACACTACACTTGTTTTGTTAATGGAATGTACAGTAGATTATTGGATGATGGTTGAATAAACTGGAAGGTGTGAGAAGCATACAGGGATGTATATGGTACAATGTTTACAGAGTGTAAGATAGGTACAGTGGAAACAATTACAGGTACACCACCGATTTTCCGGGAACTGATGGTTCTGCACCTCCTTTAATCCGGACAGAATTATGAGAGGGCACTTAACTTCCCCCCCTCCCTCCCAGCCAGGGTGAAGGTAGTTTTAGGCTTAAAGTTTTTATCTTATAAAATGTAGCTGACTAGACTTAGCAGAATATAACTTGCATTGCTGGAATCCTTGTAAGATAGTGATTAATTTGAGTATAAACATCACATAGTTTGCATAAGAGATAAAAATTTTAATCTAGTGTAGTATATTTGAGTACAAAGTGTGTACAGTAATGTTGCTCAAAATTATGGCTTTTTCACAACTAATGTATAGTTGCCAGCAAAAGTCCTCCAACAGCCCTGTGTAGCAGGGCTGGAGAACTTTTGCTGGCAACTGTACATATGAGAGTTTATACAGTACACAGTAGGAAGAAACTGTGGTGTAGTGTCAGAACCTGACCTTGTGTTTTCCTGTTCTTTAATGGGTTAATGATTTTGTGACCTTACAATGCCTTTAGAGATGCAACCCCTCGCAGAAAAGAGGCTTTGTTTTTACTGAACCTGGCAGATGGTATAATATAAGGGTACCGGTATATATTTATACACAGGAACACACACATACAGTATTATAATCTGTAAGGAACTCTGGTGTGTAAAGATTGAAGAATAACTTAAAATTGTTTTTTTAGTGTCTTTGCAGGGGGTCCTATTCCTTACCCCAAGCGTGACTTTCTCTCAGATGAGGAGCAGGACGACAAATCAGACAATAAGGTAAGTTTCAGATGCCGATCTTGACGCCATTCGTTCGGATGATGGAATAGTTAATCCGGGAGGGAAGATATATATATATATATATATATTCAGTATTTATATATTTCTAATAGCGATTACAAACTGCCTGCTTTTGCATAACGTGTGTGAATGGTTTTGGTGAAAGGGATCAACTTGTATTTAGATATAGATAAATACTTTTTAATATAAACCCAGATGAGGAATTAAGATTCGTGTTTTATTAATTTCACTCAGCGGAATAAATAAAATTACAGAAGTTATGTTTGACAGAATCAAATATTATACCTAAAATCTGGTGTAAAATTGTGAGGTTATTCAAATTTTTCAATATATTTTATGAGTACTGTAGTCAAAACAAAGATTTGGTAATAGTCAAAATTCTTCCTGTACTGCATGCGTGTTTTATTGGAAGGATTAGTGAGGTGTATGTGAGGGAGGGTGAGGAGAGCAGCCTGTTTGAGGAATGTAAATGAGGAGTTGAAATTGACTTTATAGAAAAATGAAGAACGTAATATGGAATTTAGAAAAGGACTGAGAAACAACCCAAAAAATGTGGGGCTTATAGGGGACTGGAAAAAGAAATAGAAGATGAAGTTTTAATGGTTTGATGAGACAAGAAATGGGATTTATAAAGAATGAGATTTATAGTGGACTGAAAACAAAATAGTGTCTATTAAGGATTAAAGAAAGTGATGGAATTTATAAGGAATTGAATAACTAAAGGTGGAGTTTATAAAGGATTGAAATATACATAAGTTTGGATTTATTTAGGACTACAGTACAGTACAATAAGTAGGGATTATAAATGATTGAAACAAACAAAAGTAGACAAATTTAAAAGTTATTATTTAGGATAAATACTGAAGAGATTACTGTATGTATTTTCCTCCAGTAAAAATATAATTTGTAAATCCTTTTAAATGAGGGTTGAACCACCATTGTCATCAGGCATAGATGTTTATCTCGGAAAATTTGAGTTTTTGACATGACCAAGATTTCAACTTGAAGACAGTGACTTTAGTGTGTACAGTATAGCTAACCATAACAAATTGCTCACTAGTTTAAAAAGTGCAGTAATGAATTGGTTAGATCACACTGTTTGTCATGAAAGTCTATGATAGTGTAACATTAATGATAACTTTATAAGACATTCCTGGGATGATTCTTAAGGATGTTGGAAGCATTTGTGTAGAATGTTTATTAATCAACAAGACTTCAATACTATACTGTACTGTAGTAATTATAAACTGTTTAGCCTTTAATGTTAGCAAAATCTGGTGGGACTTGTATCAGAGGTCGTGTAGTGGATGAGCTTATTAAGGTTGATGAGGGAACAGTGAATATAATGTGATAAGTTTATCCGTGTCAGCATCTAAGGGTTAAGGATTTTGCCTATACGTACAGGTATTCCTCGAGTTTCATTCCTGGATGCTGTTCGTAAGTTGGTCTTTCGTATGTCAGAACAGTGTTAATTCCATAGTTTAGGTCAAAACATAATTCTGCCCATACAAAACAACAATAATATCCCTTACTTAACACATAATGTAAATACTGTAAATAAAGTGATGTAAAAGAAATGGGATTTTAGTTACATATTTTTTGCGATTAACCTATTTGGATCCCGTTCGTAAGTACAGGTGTTCGTAGGTCGGGCATTCGTAATTTGGGAATTGCCTGTACTTAAACTTTATTGCCTATCAAGAAAAATTGGTGTTGGCTCAGAGTGTGTAACATTTTTAGTGAAGTGGGTGGAGGGACAAACTGCTGGGGTGTGGTTGTTATAGTTCCTGGTAAATAACAATGCTACTCTTACACATTTTTGGGTCTTAGTCTCATTTAGTTTATAAGGTAGATGGGCCACATTGTCCATAGACCCCAACCTAACCTAAGCATGAGGATTTGGGCACAGTAGGATTCAGGACAAGTATTGGTAAGGTTTAGACATTTTGGGAGAGGCCTATTTGGACTAGGTGCCATTGAGAACAAGGTCCTTAACCAAATAGTAAAGTTGGGTTAGGTCAGGACAGGTTAGGTTAGGACTTTGGAACAGTTTATAAATCACACCCAAAGATGGGAACATAAAACATCTTAAGGTTTTAATAAAATGGGTTACACTTAAGTACAGTTCCAGTTTTTATGATCAAATCTTTATGCACAGAGGAGGTCAAAGTATATACTGTACTCATAATACTTTTGATGGGAAAAAATTCACACATTTCTGTGGGTCGTTCACGGTGAATGACAGCTACCTGGTACATGGACACAGTATGCTATCCTTACCAGTAAACTCCTTTAACCTGGGCTTGCCTACCTTACCCCTAAATTCTTTATACTGCGACCTGAAGAACAGAACCTCATTCAATATCCTGTACTGTAATGCTGCTTTAAATTTACAAAACCTGACACAACTGGAGATATACAGATAATTTTCCTTTTGTTTGCATCTGTTAATAATTTTGCTGGTGACATTGTTGCCAAGTTAGACTCAGCAGTTACTGTGTACAGTTTGTGTGTAGAAGCGAACATTAAAAGAGAAGGTTTAACTAATTGGTGTTACTGTAGTAGAATACATTGTCTTTTGTCAGGCAGAGTTGTTAGTCTGGTGTGATATATGTACAGTTGACCACCAGGCAGAGTTGTTGGTCTGCTGTGATATATACTTATAGTTGACCACCGGGCAGAGTTGTTGGTCTGCTGTGATATACGTACAGTTGACCACCAGGCAGAGTTGTTGGTCTGCTGTGATATACGTACAGTTGACCACCAGGCAGAGTTGTTGGTCTGCTGTGATATACATACAGTTGGCGTGAAAAATTCTTTGTATTTTTAGTAATTTGATGTATGGTAGTTCTCATGTCTATATTTTTTGGTACATAATATAAGAGCCACTTGAGAGGTGTTAGCTGTCGCCAACAATAGTACAAAATGACTTAGTGATGCACTGTAAAGACGTTTGTGTTCCAATACTTGCATTATACAGATCCAAGTTGAGCAGATTTTGGTTACCCAAGATGTTACATTATGAATTGTGTTGTTGTCATGACTTTGTCGTGGTTGAACATTATCATAATATACTGTATTGTATAAAAGTTTTATGTAAAGAACAAATTATTTATAGATAGATTATATACAAGCTGAGATGACCAAGGTATTGGGCAAATCACTTATGCATGTTCTTGGTGTGGACTTGTTAAGAGAATGTCAAAATTTGATGTCTAGGCTTATCAAGACTGAGGAACTGGGCTGTGAATAATCAAGATATTGGTATACAGTACATGCTTGAGTTAGTGCGGCCACAAGGTGTATTGGCCAGTGATGGACGTGTGTGCTTTAGTGGCCAGTGATGGACGTGTGTGCTTTAGTGGCCAGTGATGGACGTGTGTGCATTAGTGACCAGCGATGGACGTTGGGTGCATTAGTGACCAGTGATGAACGTGTGTTTCTTTTGGTCTTGCAGAAGAAGGTATTCATGGAACAGAGCTGGACAAATCAACAGAGAGCAGCTGCAGCAGCCAAGGTTAGATATATTTGATGACCAGAGGGAAAAAATAATGAAAATTTAAGAAATTTGTAGATTAGTTTTGTGAACTGATTAAAGCATATTTTCTTGTGTATGTGTGTGTGTGTGTGATGTCACCTTTCTAACCTCATTGTAACAGTTTGAAAAGTACAATTATTAATAGTATGTGTGATTAGTTAACTCTGGATGTACATTACAAGCAAGGTCAAATGAATAATATAAATTTACACTTTTCATCCACAGTTTGTGCAACTTTTTGGAAGCTATTGTAGTCAAGTATTATGGGATTATACTGAGTTTATGGAACCATGTTATGGGTTTACAATTGATTAGTCCGAGTTAATTAACAATATTATGAGATTACAGTACAGTAGGAGCCCTTGTGATATATTGTAGCTTCAGGGGTTCACACTCCATGTAGTGGTCCAAGTGGATCCCAAACTAGTTAGTCTTTCTTTTTTTTACCAATTAATCCAATCCCAATCCAACTGTGATCCTATTTCACTTGTTGTAAAAGAGAAGAGAAACAGTAGACCTAGATGTGTATATTATAAGGCACGGAGTACAGCTTTGTGTCCGTCACTCCCTGCAATGTAACTTGTCTGTCGACAGATGTAACTTATTGCAACAATTGGATGCTTCAATAACTACCGGTATACTCTAGATGCATTGTTGTTTAACAGTAATTTTGAATATATTCCATAAATTTTTTGATGAATTTCAGTTTTTATGTTGACAATGAAAGTGGAATTTAATCTTATCTAGCTGACCATTATTTAGAGCTGCACCAACTCTCTCACTGCTGCTTCACACTTTAAGGGATCAATTCCTGGTCAACCTCTGGCTCACCTTGATCGCCTTTCATTGTCTGTTTCCAACCACATGTAGCGGGATGAAGCTCTTGTAATAATTTTTTTTTTCCATTGTTACCATTTGATTTATTTCAGTTATAATGCTGTAGATCAAGTAGATATAAACCAGTGCAGTAGAGAATTGGCATATATATATATATATATAACTTTTATTTATTTTAGTTTTTTATTAGCAGTCGTGTAGTGAAGGTGTTGATATCTAAACATTAATTGGTTATTACAGATTAATGTTTTAGTGGGGTTAAGGAGGTGTGGGGAAGAGTGTTAAGTGTAGGTAAAGTCTGTTATGCTAGTGTTAATGTGTGTTATGGAGTCACTGGTGCCCACAACATTTAACCTCGGTAGTTATCAGCAACATTTTCTGGTATTGTTATTATTGGTATATATATTTTTTATAAGTTATGGGTATGTATTGATTGATTTATTTTTATCATGGATGTAATCACTGGACACATTAATGAAACACCCTTGCACAGTATAAGCATTGTACTGATGAATGGTATCTTGCCATCATGCTTGTACAGTATTTGGTGAGGTATTTTGTTCACATTATATTTTGAAAGGAGATGAGTGTTGTGATTTCAGCTTTGCTGCTTATGTAATGAGCTTCCTTCATCTTGAAAATGTTTCATTCATTAAGAGAGGCAATGGTGAAATGTCATCCAAATTATGATCCATGCTGATAAATTATGATCCATGCTGATAAATTACTATCACATTTCATATTTCTGAGAGGAGATAGACGTCTCGGTTGCCAGTATTGACAGAAATGTGTTTTTTCGGTGTTTCAGAAGAAGATTTTTATGGATCAGACTTGGACAAACCAACAAAGAGTGCAAGCAGCAGCAAAGGTTAGCAAACACTACTAATGAGGCTTTGTACAGTACATACTGGCTATGTCCCCCACATGGGCTGTGTCCCACAGTTCCCATGTAGGGGAGGTATTTCCCACTTGTAGGTAGGCTAGGGACTGTACCAGGTAGTGGGGTATTTCCCACTTGTTAGTAGGCTAGGGACTGTACCAGGTAGTGGGGTATTTCCCACATGTAGGCTACACTGGTGCCATGTAAAACATTGCCTTAGAATTTAGTGTTCATGTATTTGTTAGACAATGTTACTTCATATATTATACAGCATTGATAAACCAGGTTGTGGAAACACCCACTCGCCAGTATCCTGGGCTAGTCTTCTCTTTGCAGGTGTACAAGTGTGGTTACTGTGTAAAACTACTTGTGTGTGGTGGTTGTGCTCACCCAGGGAGGGATAACCTTGCTTGAAGTTTAGGGATGACCTATCTCACGCAAATGGTTCTCCCTCGGGGCCATATTCAGGACTGCTTGGACACCTTCTCTTCCTCAGATGCCACAGTGTCTTCCTAGTGAATGCTACTTACCTATTCTCTCTCACTTATTTTTCAACTTTTATCATTTTACCTTTATTTTTATTTATTTTTTAATTTACTGTATCTGTGTGTGTGGTGATGTGAGACAACCAACCCTCAGTCTCCCCCTCTTGTTGACTGTCAGTGTAAATCGTGTCATAGCCACATCAGCTCATAGAAATTGTTATATTTTACTACAGAGTCTTCAGTAAATTCAACATGATAAGTGTGTCACAAAGAGGAAGATAGGCGATTGTGAGATAAGTCACCCCCAAAATATAATGTGTACGTTGTATTATAACAGTCATGAGGCTCCTGTGTCTGTATCTCATTCTTATACATAGAATAGAGGTTATGTGTGGTTGCTCCTAAAGTCTTGCTGGGAAGGGGGAAGGAGGGGAAGGAGGGAGGGAGGGGAAGGAGGGAGGGAGAAGGAAGAGGGAGGGAGGGAGGGAGGGAGGGACAGAGACAGGTTTTTACATATAGTATTAAGAAGTGTTGTTCATTATTTGTGTTATTAGTAAGGGTCTTAATATTTTGGAATAAGTAAGTGTCTTGGGGTTTTAGTTTGTACACTTGTCTGTTTGTAGCTTAGTTTAACTTATGTCAAGGAAGTCAAGCTTTATGAGAGGATGATTAATAAGAAGTGAAAACCTATGAAGAGGTTGATGGTACAGGAGTATAGCTTTGGTCAGGTTCTAGACATAAAAACCCTGAAATGTTTACATAGACTCAGAATATTGTGATCATTGATAGTTTGTGTGTGTGGGGGAGGGATGATGAAAAACCTCATGATTTAACAAATGTTTATTGCTTATATTTTTGAGTGTGTGTGAGTGTGTGTGTCTGTGCGTGTGTGTGAGTGTGCGTGTGTGTGTGTGTGTGTGTGTGTATAAGGCTACGGGAGTACCCCAACGAAAACCTGCGGTGGAGCTCCACATCAGGCAGACATGCTTACAGAGCTCCAACAAGACCCCAACGGTATAGGCGGAAGGGGTGACCATCATGGAAACCCAACGACTACACCGGTGGAGGAAGGCAATGCCTGATGAACAGGCTACTAAGGCGAAACCCAACAAACTGGGCTATTGGCAGTCCATTTCAACTCTCCCTCTCCCCAGTCACTGCAACACTTGCATCACTTAATCAGGAAAAGGAAGAGCCAAGATGTGTGGTTGCAGCCTGCGCTCCTGCATCACATAAATCACCTCACGCGCAGCCATCATCCAGCTCATCATACTCATCATCATCAAAACCCCTATACCCCCCAAAAGTCCTATGGCGACGGACAAGTGGCGACGGGGACTGGCGGAGATGACTGCCGGGAGTCTCTAGTCACAACTCTGCACATGGGTGGCACAGATAAGATGGTCGTTTATGCACTGGGATCTAGGTAGCAGTGCAATCCGGTCCTGTCTGTGTGACTGAGCAGCCCTTATGAGGAGCCACTCTGCTCACCCCACACGAGGAGGGGGCTAGAAAAGGTGACCTAAACATAGCCTGCCTAAAACCCAACCTGACTGGGCAACCGTACCCAGTAAGGTCATCCTTATGCGGTCGCTGCATGGAATGTCTGAACCCTTCTGAATACTGGCACAAATGCACATCCCGAAAGAAGAACTGCTCTTGTGGCAAAAGAGCTGGCTAGGTCTAACATCGACATAGCAGCCATCAGTGAGTCCCGGCTCCCAGATGAGGGCCAAATCAAAGAAAGGGGGTCTGGCTACACCTTAGCTGCCTACTACCTACTGATGTAATGATATAACTAACAGTTATAGTGGCAGGTGATGTATCAAGGGAGGAAGGAAGGAAGTGTCTAGGGAGGAAGGAAGTGTCTAGGTAGGAGGGAAGGAAGTGTCTAGGGAGGAAGGAAGTGTATAGGGAGGAGGGAAGGAAGTGTCTAGGGTGGAAGGAAGGAAGTGTCTAGGTAGGAGGGAAGGAAGGAAGTGTCTAGGGGTGGAAGGAAGAAGTGTCTAGTAGGAGGAAGGAAGGGAAGTGTCTAGGGTAGGAGGGAAGGAAGGAAGTGTCTAGGAGGAAGTGTCTAGTAGTAGTAATGAAGTGTCTAGTGAGGAAGGAAGTGTCTAGGAGGAAGGAAGGAAGTGTCTAGGAGGAAGGAAGAAGGTCTAGAATGAAGGAAGGAAGTGTCCTGGTAGGAGGGAAGGAAGGAAGCTTTAGGGAGGAAGGAAGGAAGTGTCTAGGGAGGAAGGGAAGTGTCTAGGATGGAAGGAAGGACGTGTATAGAGGAAGGAAGAAGTTTCTAGGGAGGAAGGAAGGGAGTGTCTAGGAAGGAAGGAAGGAAGTGTCTAGATGGAATAGAAGGACGTGGGGAGGAAGGAAGGACGTGTATAGGGAGGAAGGAAGGAAGTGTCTAGAAGGAAGGAAGGAAGTGTCTAGATCGAAGGAAGGACGTGTATAGGAGGAAGGAAGGAAGTGTATAAGGAGGAAGGAAGTGTCTAGGAAGGAAGGAAGTGTCTAGGGAGGAAGGAAGGAAGTGTCTAGGGATGGAAGGAAGGAAGTGTCTAGGAGTGAAGGAAGAAGTGTCTAGATCGAAGGAAGGAATAGGAGGAAATAAATAGTGTAAGGAGGAAGGAAGTACTAGAAGGAAGGAAGTGTCTAGGGAGGAATGAAGAAGTGTCTAGATGGAAGGAAGGAAGTGTCTTAGGTAGGAAGGTGAAGGAAGTGTTCAGGAGGAAGGAAGGAAGAAGTCTCGGGAAGAAGGAAGGAAGTGTCTAGGAGAAGGAAGAAGCATGAAGTGTCTAGGATGGAAGGAAGGAAGTGTCTAGGATGGAAGTGAAGGAAGGAAGTAAGTCTAGAGGAAGGAAGGAAGGAAGTGTCTAGGATGGAAGGAAGGATGTGTATAGGAGGAAGAAGAAGAAGTTCTAGGGATGGAAGGAAGGAAGTGTCTAGGAAATAGTGTCTAGGGAGTGAAGGAAGGAAGTGTCTAGGAGAAGGAAGGAAGGAAGTGTCTAGGGAAGAAGGAAGGAAGTACTAGGAGGAAGGAAGGAAGTGTCTAGGGAGAAAGGAAGGAAAAGTTTAGGAGGAAGGAAGAAGCGTCTAGGGAGGAAGGAAGGAAGTCTAGGAGGAAGGCAGAAGTAAGCTCAGAGGAAGGAAGAAGTGTCTAGGGAGGAAGGAAGGAAGTGTCTAGGAGAAAGGAAGGAAGCGCCCAGGGAGGAAGGTTCAGGAGGAAGGAAGTGTCTAGGGAAGCGGTTGAAGTGTCTAGGAGTAAAGGAAGTGTTTAGAGGAAGGAAGAAGTGTCTAGGGAGGAAGGAAGGAAGTGTCTAGTAGTGCCCAGGAGGAAGAAGAAGCTCTAGGGAGTGAAGGCTGACGTTTCTAGGGAGAAGGAAGGACGTTTCTAGGAGGAAGGAAGAAGTTTCTGGTGGAGGAAGCGAAGAAGTGTCTATTAGCCATGAAGGCCTTAGAGGAAGAAGACGTTTTAGGGGTGAAGCGAAGGACGTTTTAGGAGTGAAGGAAGGAATCTAGGAGGAAGGAAGGAAGGACGTTTCTAGGAGAAGGAAGAAGTGTCTATGAAGGAAGGAAGTGTCTAGGAGTGAAGGAAGTTTCTAGAGGAAGGAAGGACGTTTCTAGGGAGGAAGGGAAGGAAGTGTCTAGGAGGAAGAATGAAGTGTCTAGGTAGGAAGGAAGTTTCTAGGAGGAAGGAAGGAAGTTTCTAGGGAGGAAGGAAGAAGAAGGTCTAGGAGAAAGGAAGGAAGGCCCAGAGGGGAAGTGAAGGAAGGAAGTGTTCAGGAAGGAAGGAAGTACCTGTGAATGAAGGAATTTTTTAGGGAGGAAGGAAGGAAGTACCCAGGCTGAAGAAGCGTCTAGGAGGAAGGAAGAAGGCCTAGGAGGAAGGAAGTGTCTAGGAAGGAAGGAAGGAAGGAAGTGTCTAGGAGGAAGGAAGGAAGTGTCTAGAAGGAAGGAAGTTTCTAGAGGAAGGAAGGAAGGAAGTGTCTAGGAGGAAGGAAGGAAGGAAGGTCAGAAGGAAGGAAGTTTCTAGGAGGAAGAAGAAGAAGTGTCTAGGCTGAAGGAAGGAAGTGTCTAGGGAGGAAGGAAGGAAGTGTCTAGAAGGAAGGAAGTGTCTAGGAGAAGGAAGGAAGGTTTAGGAGGAAGCTGATGAAGGAAGGAAGCTTTAGGAGGAAGGCGAAGTGTCTAGAGTAAGAAGGAAGTGTCTAGGGAGGAAGGAAGGAAGTGTCTAGGTAGGAAGGAAGAAGTGTCTAGGAAATGAAAAAGAAAATGTCTAGGAGGAAAGAAGGAAGTCTAGAAGGAAGGAAGGAAGAAAATCTAGAGGAAGGAAGGAAGTGTTCTAGAAGGAAGGAAGAAATGTCTAGAGGAAGGAAGGAAGGCCTAGGAAGGAAGAAGAAGGAAGTGTCAGGGAGGAAAGAAGGAAGTGTCTAGAAGGAAGTGTCTAGGAGGAAGGAAGGAAGTAATTAGAGAGGAAGGAAGGAAGTGTCTAGGAATGAAAAAGAAGTGTCT